CCACCTATATTTTGGATGCAAAATAGGGGGTCAGGACAAGAGTGGAGCCCCTCATTATTCTTGGATTACATGTGCAACTTATCTGCATCAACTTATCTGGCTAAACAAGAAGAAAAAGTCCATGCCTTTCACAGTCCCAGTGGTGTGGAGGGAACCCACCAATCATAGTAGTGACTGCTATTTTTGCATGGTTCCCCAATTGCAAAAGGCATCTCAAGAAAGAAGAAGTGAACCGTGGAATATCCCAACAATAAAAAGATAAATTTATAGTGATTGATGTTGGCACCATTCTCATTGCTATCTCATTTTGCAGAAAAGTTATGGAGCACCCCCTCATAATTTTGAATTATTTTGATGCAATTTTTGACCTGAAGCTTTATCCAATTCATACTCAGGACTTAATTTTATTTATTTATTTAGAAGACTTCTATGCTGCCCCATTCGCCGAAGCCTCAGGGCGGCTCACATCAATAAATAAACTTACATAAAATAGTATAAATTAACAGTATAAATTAAGTCGCCCTGGCCAAAGAATAAAATGAATAAATACTATTAACAATTAAAATGACGTTTGAATAAAAAGGTCTTCGCCTGGTGCCGAAAAACAAATAACGATGGCGCCAGGCAGACCTCTCTGGGGAGCGCATTCCATAGATTGGGTGCCACCGCAGAGAAAGCCCTCCTCCGAGTACTCACCCTCCTGATTTCCTTCATGGAGGATTCTGGAGAAGGGCCTCTCCCACAGATCTCAAGGGGCGGGCGGGCATATATGGATGTAAGCGCTCCTTCAGGTAACCCAAGCCGTTTAGGGCTTTATAGGTTTTCCTCTATTTTCCCTCTATTAGTGACCCAATTCTGGTAAAATTTAGCTACTTCCATTTCAGAGGTGTTCTCTTTGTTAGACCAGTGTAAGCTGATGCTCAGTCCAGACAAGACGGAGGTACTGTTGGTGGGGAGTCCATCTGTTTAACTCGGGAGTTTCCAACTTATCCTGTTGTGCGAAAGGTTTGCAGTCCTGGAGTGCTTGTGGATCCTGAGTTGCCATTTGTTGTTCAGGTGGACTTGGTTTCCAGGAGTGCTTTTTATCAGCTCTGGCTGATTTATCAGCTGCATCCCTACTTGGATGAGCAAAGCCTTGACATGGTTATCCATGCATGACAACCTCCCACTTGAATTACCGCAATGCACTCTATCTGGGGCTGCCTTTGAAAATGGTCTCAATCTTGCAACTTATCCAAAATCAGGCAGCCACCCACTGACGAGGACTGTGTTCGTGAGCACACCATGCCAAGTCTTACACAGGCTGCTGGTTGCCGTCTGGCTCACGATAACCTAGTAAGCCCTAAACCACTTGGGAACAGGTGATCTGAGGGAGCACCTTTCTCCATATGTAGCAGCGCTATCACTGCCGTCTTCCTCTGCATCCCTCTTCCAAAGGGGAAGTGAAGGGGGAGATTGCGAGGTAGAGGGCCTTTTCAATGGCAGCACCCGCTCTCTGGAGTGCCATCCCATTGGAGGTTCAGTTGGCACCCATCCTTAGGCACTAACTTAGGACCTTTCTGTTCCAGTGCTACTTTGATGGGTGAATTGTTGGTCAGTTTGGAATGACAGTTTTAAGAGTTTATATTATTAAATGTTGTTGCCTTATAACTTTATCAATTTCATACTAGATATTGATTATGCTTTAATTGGTTTATGGATTCCCTTATAGGATATATTATCCATTGTTGTCATCTTTTTGTTTTACTCAGTTTTGTAGTTTTACTCATGGATTTTTATTGCAATTGGTTTTACTGTGAATTGTGGATTTTATTGTGCTGTATAGTGTATTGTATCTTTTTGGATTTTATTGTGTTGTGAGCCATCCAGAGAACGTATGGCTAATGGGGCAGCATATACATTGAATGAATGAATGAATGAATGAATGAATAAATGTATTTCACTGTCCCCGCAAAATGTTCAAATTTGCCAGATGTTTTTTGGTTTTTGTTTTAAAGAACCTTTTCTTTTTACAGCTGTCAAAAGTGACATGTACATCTTGCCTTTCTGGAGTATCTAGACGTTTGAGTAAGTGTGGAAAAGGTGAAGGATCACACGCAAATGGAGAAGGCAAACTTGTCACTCCATATGGGAGCAAAACCCCCTCACTGCTTTGCTTTTCAATCAGCAGCTCACCATTTGATAACTGTTAAGGCAACCTATATGCAATTTCACATGGTCCATGTCCATGATACAGCTACAGCACTCTGAAAGCAGACACCAGGACACTGGCCAGGTAAGACTCATTTCAGGAACACCTGCAAAGGACAAAAGCAAGCCCTCAAATGTGTGCATCCGAGGCCAACAAAAGTTACAAAAGGGTACCTTCAGTGGAGCAGCTGTCACTGGTGACTAACAAAGCCCTGGAAAAAACAATGCCATATTGGGGTTGGGATCAGAGTGGGGAAAGGAGGACAAGATAGATTCTGCCGCTTAAAACCCTGGGATACCAACTGGAAAGCCAAGGAACAAAGGAGAACAACCTACAGTGAACCAAATCATCTGTCCAGCTTCCCATGGATGCTTCTGCAAAATACCTACACTACATGTGTCATTCACAGGATGCATTGCCATGCTGTGCGAATGCAGTGTTTCTACAATATCGCCAGTTTTTCCTCTTCCACGGTTTTTCTTGTTCCGCCTTTGATACACAGGCAAATGAAAACTACCTGGGGAATAGTAAACATACTGCCTATGAAACCAGTAATGGTGAGAAAATGAAATGCAAGTATTACAAAACCCTCTCCATTTGGAAGAGGCCCCGCTTGTAAACCTCAGAGGAAATGGGAAAGATAGAGCTGCTCAGAGAAAAGGCAGAAAGACTTAACTATAGCATGACAGCACCCTCTCCTCCTGGGTATCCTTGACCAGAAGTTAAATGGCTTCACAGGATCAGGCCGTATCATGCTTGCTTCCATGCTGCAAAGGTCAATGTTTCAATCTAGGTTTCAGACTAGGTGAAGTAATATGGACTGCATTATTTAATTCTAGGGCTGGCTCAGGTGCTATTGCTGCATTACTCTACCCTTATGTGGTAGGGCAAGGAGTGGGAGGAAGCAAGAGCCCTGCAGGATGAGACACAAGTCCAACATTTTGCTCACACAGTGGCTACTTGGCTTTCCCCAGGAAACCCACAAGCAGGACCTAAGTGTAATCATAGCCTCACACCCATGCTCCACAGCAACTGCTATACTACCTGATAATGGGAGGCTGCATGCAGTTATGAGGACTAGTAAACATTGTCTTTCCTCTGTGAATTTGCCCAATCCCCTTTTAAAGTTGCCCAAATTAGGGCCCTTCATCTTGTTGACATGAATTGCACGTTTTAAGTATCACTTAAGCGCACCCTGTTGAAGTGCCTTTCCCCTGCCTCCTAAGTGAATCACACCTAGCTGGTGAAAGGGCTATCATAAGACACTTGCACCTGGCTCTAGGATCCATTAGCTGAAGGGACTGGAGACAGTTTGGACAAGTTAGTCTCCTCTCAAATTTGCCAGTGGTTCACAGATTCATTTTGCTCTGTGCTCCAAGTGAACAAGGAGGGCTGCAACGGCTCCATTATCTGCTCACAAAGAACCTTGACATTTAGATGAGGGTTCAGATATCATAATGTTCTCAGGACTACTTCCTTCTGTGCAGGTTTAAGCCTTGTCTCTCTCTTCCTAACCAACTACACTACCCTGTTCACCGCATTGAACATACGTCAATGGATGGAAGCCTACTGCCTTACTCAGAAGGTGGGAACCAGTTCTTTGCAGATGTAGAAAGAATTTAAATGGGGACAGAGAGGGAGGAATGGGGGGAGGGCAGATATGAGGAAAAAGAGCCAAAGAAAATCCATAGAAGGCATTCTTTCCATAGGAAAAAAATATTTTATTTTTTTTAAAGAACAAATTCAGTTTGAAACAGATGTGGAATGTGAATTGTCATAGATTTGATTTTCTGGAAGGGGCTTACTGCAATGTAGAACAAAAAGCAGATTTCAAATCTATGACAGTCTAGTTAAAAAAAAGAGAAACAATTATTTATAACTCAAGCATAATACTGTGTTACTTACAAACGGGACAAAGAAATTCTTAAATAAATATTCATGGTACACAATTACAGCACAAATATGCAGCAATTTGGCAACCTTTTTATACCTTATCTTTTTCCAGGATACTGTGCAAAGGGGAATGACATGGCCTTTAAACAAGCTGTAGCTAAATACATAGCAAAAGTCAGATTTATACAAAACATCTCGCTTAGACTTTATAAAAAACCAATGTTGCTTTATATACACAATCTGGTTAAGAAAAGATGTTTATTCTTGATTCCATGTGTATTTTTATTTTATATTTATTTTAAAAGGTGAATAAGGCTACTGTAACACCCCAAATCCATATACAGTAAATCTGAAATTATTTACAGCATCTTTACTCTTAGACATGATGGTGTAAATTTCAAAAAGTTCAGTGATCAAGGGGTAACACAGGCAAGGCATTTACAGTAACTTTTCAAAGCTGAATCAAACACCAACTAAAGGAAAAGTTGGTAAGATTGTCATTCTTCTGCACAAGACACAACAGAGATACACGGGGCTCTTCCTTTCCCCCCACGATCGGTTGCCGTTGCTCTCCTCCATTGATTCGTCCAATATTCTCAGCCCAAGTTTAGCACATAATCAGAATGTAACCAACTGACTAAATCAGGAACACTCCCGATTTTTTGTAGTTTTTTGTTTAAAAAAGAAAAAACCAGGCCCATCTATTTCCCCCCTCCCCCAAAATAAAATCTTAATGACTTACAAGAAAAAACCTTTCATGGATGGATTCACAGAGGGGAAGGCTTTAGGAACCAACTGCATCTGTATTGTAGTTGGTTACCATGGTAACCTCCCACAGAATATGCTTCTTCCCCGCTCTGCCCTCCCCTCCCCTCCCCTCCGTCTCTCCTTCTTGGACCAACATCGTTTTCAGGTTCAGGAAATACAGAGAGTAATAATTTCTATGACAGTACATTTTTGCACGTGCTCAGTGGAGGTTTGAAAACCTTAAAATGCTGTAGTTACATGTACTTTCCAGTCCAGAAAGTGAAGTGTTGCTATGGTAACAGGGCTATGTGAAAAGACATCTATTTTGCATAGCACATAAAAAAGTAGATTTATTTCCCCCAGGGTACAGAGGTTGGAGGGAGGACAACAACCATGCTTCAAGCAGAAACTTTATACCAAAACTCTCCCTTTTGTGACCAGCTGAAATACTCCATCTCATAAGGCAAGGGGAAAAACAAACAAAAGCACAAAACAGAAGAAAAAAAACCACATCGGCACATCTTGTTGAAATACATGATGTAGTTACACTAATTTCATGATTTGTGTGTGTGTGTGTGGGGGGGTGTTATTTCCTAATCTACTGGTTAGGCAAGACAGTTTAGAGGGCTTGGTTATTTTAATATTTCTTATTGGTACTTTTTGGAGTGAAGCTCTTTTTCCCCCAGAAGTAGTCGCCCAATTGTTTTGCTTTAATGCTGACAATTTCAGGTGGATTTCACATCTTCTGGTATAGATTCTGTGCAATCTCAATATATAGATATATATTAGTAATCCTCATAACAAAATCTGCTACTTTATATCCCTTGGGTTCTATACACCTATTATAAATAAAGTCATACCTTACTTTTCCCCCCCTCTTGTGTCTAAGTGTGTTGCATCTTAATGGATCCTAAGCAGTTTACCATATGTGCTTTAACTCTGAAAGAGCATACCCTAGTAACAGCAGGGTCCAGAACAGGACTGCCTCACAGAGGCACTGCCAGAAACCCGAGTGTCAAAGGCTTGATTGGAGGAAAAATAAAATTCTGATCCATTTTTTAGAGATGTGAATGCTTTTTTAAGTGATGGAATTATAGCCCTCTTGATTGTTAAGCTTGTGATTTATTTGAATGTCAGATGTTGGTTGCTGTTTTCTTAAACACTTGTTTCCCTGTGATTAGATAAAAGGTGGTAAGTATAGCAGCTATGTTTGCTTTAAAAAACAAAACCCAAACGTCATTTGAAGCAGACCAAGATTTTGCTACAGCTCGTTCAAAGCTGTATATCTTATTGCTGGTACAGGACAACAGCAGTCCTGCCCTAATATGTCACCAGCGGCCTTCTATTGCCTTGTCTTCCAGGCACATTCAGTGACTTACACTCTTCGTCCTACTTTGAGAGAAAGAGAACTATTTTCTTCTGCAAGATGCTATTTGAGCATAACCTTGGCATTTTTCAAGTGCAGGCCCTAATCATCTGCTTGTGTTACTGTGTCTAACCTGCTTCTTAGAACTCCAGATATCAAAGTGCTGTGCTACCCAAATGGCCTGGCTTTGTCCCGTTGATATTCCAGAGGCAGTAGCATTCTATCAGCCCTTCCCTCTCTCTCTCCCTCTCTCTCTCTCTCCCTCTCTGAGCACCACTTATCTTCAATTGTGGGCTCTGGTGATGAGCAAACTTTTGGCTGAAAGATTCCCTTCTTAGCCAGCCCAGGTTCTCTGAAAGCAGTATCCATATTCAAGTGAGGCTGCTATCACAGACAGATGGAGTATGAAATGGCAAAAAACATTACATTTTCCAGTAGCGATGCAGGATGTGAAGTGAAAGAATTCTCATGTGAAGGATGCCAGAATGCTACCCAACTGAAGTAAAATGCAACAAGAACTGACTAAAATCAAGGAAATGATTGAAAGTCTTACTTAAAAGCTGAGGTCTGTATGACAAATCCATAAGCACTAAGGGAGAAGCGCACAAAGTCACAGGGCTTCATTTCAAGCATGATGACTTAAGACTCCTTTCCAGAATGCCTAAAACCATCAGCATCTGTGAGCTGTTCCATCTTCCCTGGGCTTTTTGTACGTGCCTGCATGCCTGCAGCACATGGCTTAGAAGGTGACGAACGCACAGCAACTGGAGTGGTATCTTCTACGCAAATTCTTCCAGCTTCCAAGTAAAATGCTTGTTCACTGAGACATGAATTCTACAGACTAGAGAAGCTGTCCATCTCAAAGGAGCTTTCTGCAACAGGGTGGGACTTCCTATTCCCTGCACTGCACCTGGTCCAGCAACCAGCACAGAGGACCCTCATAACCCCCACCCCACCCCCGCATCATAGACAGCATTTGACCGGAGAGTTTCAAAAGGTACCACGCTACGTGTTCATCAGACCTTGTAATAAATGTTTGCTGGACTCTGAGGCGGCATCTCTTGAACAATGTATACGGGATGTCCATAGTCACCACTGACCTTTTCATAGTGAGGGCAAAAGACACTATCTGCAGTCCTCAGAGGAATAATAATGTCACTGGGTTCAGACCCATTGTTGTTCCCACTGCGTTTTGGAGTGGCTAATGTACTAAGTGACAGAGTTGTCGTGTGCTGTGGCGAATGCTTCCTGTGTCTCCTTCGGTACTTCAACAGTAGAACCACCAGAGTGATGATGATGATGAGGAAGATGATGGACCCTGAAGCTATCCCTGCAAATAAGGCCACCTCTGAACCAAGGATACTGGAATGTCCAGCTTTGCTCCCGTCTGAGTTGGAACCTAGAAGTAAGGTTGGGTGGGGGTGAGGGAGAGAGGAGAGAGAGCGCTAAGTTCAAAATTATCACTGTCCCATCACCATCTTGCACTACTGAGAGACTTAACAGTCACTCGTACTTTGACAAAGCAATTACCTTGCAAAATTGCTAGGCACTAGCTACCCAAGTCGGCCAGTCCTAATAAGCAAAACATTATGTCTGTTCTCTCACTTTTATGTTGCTCCCAGCCCACCCTGTGTTTCCATCGATCGTCACCCATCAGCAGCAAGGACTGACACTGACAGGGGCAGCCTTTGAGGTACACCACGTCTTCACAGATGCAGGTCAGCTCAAGGCCGTTAATGGAGATAAAACAGGGGAAAGGAATTCTTCAAAACTCACTGCTGTCCTACCACTCTTTTCCAGATACCAACTGCATAGAGCCCTACTGCTGAATGTCTGCTCCTTTCTGGAGATGCAACTCTGTTATTGATTCAGGGAAGTTAAAGCAGAGTGAAGGTAATCAAAAACTGTTCAAAAGCTGCGAACAGATTACGTTGTTTTTCGTTTTTATTCTAAAACATGAAAAGCAGTGCCAGAATGAAGCTTGGCCTGGCCTGCGCCAGTTTACCTTGTGCCTGGGTCCCATCTATCAGGGCAGAGTACAGCCATTCATAGGGTTTAGTGCAACTGTTGCAGCACAGACACAAAGGGGCGACTGATACCCTCATACCAGACCCCAGCCCAGCAGCTGATTTCAGCACTTTTCCATTCTCTGTGCAACTCAAGACAGCTGGGATGAAGAAAAAGCTTGCACGGGTCTTCTGAGAGTCAGACGGGGGTTTTGCCTGCCCTGGCGTGCAGCGTCCAGTGGAGCAGCTTGGCCCACTGGAGCTGCAGAGGCCAGAGTTCATAGGTACTGGCAAGAGCTGGTAGCAAGGGGGCTTGCTTGCCACAGGATCCCAGTGTAGCCACTGGCAAAAAGCAGAACAAGGATGCTAGCTCATCTGCAGATCACACTGCAAGGGTGTTTTCGCGTAATGCACTTTGGTGCTCTTTTGTTGAGAACATCTGAAATAATTTCACTCCAGTTGAATGCCCATTTCAAGACAGAATGTTACTGCAATGCTCTGTTGCAAAAATTCTGCATGCTCTAACCTTAGAACCACAGAACAGAATTGTTGATGCTGGCTCAACAGCTGCCAACTCAAGAAAAAATAACAAAAACTTATTTGCATGATAGAAAATAATGCTGCACAGATAAGAAGCCATGAAATAACCAGTGAGGACCCTGATGTCAACTGCTACCGACTATTTATTTATTTCATTCATATCCCACCTTTTCCTCTCCGACAAGGAAGCTTCTGTAACCTTTCTCCTTTCCATCTTTTCTTCACAACAGCCCTATGAGGTAGCTTAGGCTAAGAGGCACTGACTGGCCCAGAGTTGCTCAATGAGCTCCATGGTGGAGTGAGATCCAGAACCCTGCTCTCCTGTGCCCCAGTCCAGCATTCCAACCAGTGAGCCACACTGCTCTCAACAGTCTTGCTCTCTTATTCATCTTGCTGACTTCCTCCAGCCTGTTCTTTCTTCCCCGCAGCAGAGAGAAGAAGCTGATGTTACAGCGATGGCTGTGAGGCAGTCCACTACGTCAACACTTGCCACAACGTGGCGACGGAGAGGGCAGAGGCCTTCCCAGCTGCATGTTGGGAAGTGGGCAACAGAAACCCCAAACGCTGCAACCAGAACCATGCAGACCAGTGATTCCTGGAGCAGAGGATTACCTGGCACAGCTGCAATCTAGGGATGATGTCAGGGTTGAGATCTGCTCAGCAACCACACGCTAACAAGCTCTGACAGGTAAGGGCCAGGTGTCTCCCATGCTATAACAGCAGATGACAGTTTTGCCTTATCGAGTACTAATGAAAACGTCCGTAATATATATTGTCAGAACATAACGGCTGCAATCCAAGACCCCAGCTATGGATCTTTAAGCCTCATCGAAATCAACCAGAATTAAATATGCTTAACCATGTGCTGGACTGCAACCAATTATCATAAAGACCTTTGTCCTTGTAAGCCAGCTTTTACCCATGCAAAGCTATTTGGAGCAATTCCTATTTCCTACAAATCAACAGCATTCTCACATGGAACCATTACATTTCTTTGAAATGCAAATGGAGAGCTTGCTTTTTCAAAAGTCACAATGCTGGACCTGCTACGCATTTGCTTTCTTTCACGCTACAACTGTTTACTATTCAGTAAATCTTGGGGCAGTATCTAATGTTGTCACAGCACTAGCACAAGCCAGTGCTTGTGCAACATCATTCACACTTGCTACGTAATGGAGAAAGCGGGGTGAATTACCACCACATTTTAGCAACAAACCATGTCTCCAAATTTCAGCCACAAATCGCTTTTTCTCTTTGCCTAGCAAGCACTAATGATGCTACACTGCTGTTGGGGTTTATGCTCGTGCTATGACACTAGTGCCAGCACCATGACAGTATTGGATTCTGCTCTCAGGATGCAGCCCTATGAACCTTAGGGGTGACTTCACAGGATACCAGAAACTCCCCTCTCTGTGGAGGAGAAGAATGGTCTTGCAGAGGTTCTCCATGAACCAGTAGCCAGAACAGGTAAGGGTATGAAGAGGCCATGCAGGGGTGGATCAGAAACATTCCCCCTTGGAACAGATGTGGGGAGTGGAAAACTGTGCCAACTACCTCAGACTCTACAAGGTTGCTCTACTGTGTTATATAAAATGTAAGCAAATCGCCTTTAAAATATTCTCCTTCAATGACTAGAAGCTCTCCTGTTTACCTGCATGATCCTTTACAAAGGGACTTGTTGTGGAGCTTTTCCCGTTGGTACCAGCTTCCTGTTCCGGGCGTTTAGTTGGATCAGCATTATTTGGGGACCCACCAGAATTGGGAACTGAAAGAACACAAATGATTCACTACAAACTAACAATAATGTGCTTTATAAGCTGGTTATCAATTTCCATGAGGCATGAATGGCTTTGAACAGAAGATCCTTTATGTGAGAATACAAGGAGATATGAGAATGTAATTTTCCCCTTTAAAGCAAGCAAAAAAAAAAAAAAAAAGAGGAGGAGGAGGAAAGAAAAAAAGGGTGGGGGAAGCTATATAGTTATTTCAGAGATTTGGATTGTGAGGCTATCAGCAGAAAATGAAGGGGATTCTTGAAATTGGCAGGAAAACCTTTGCAGATGACATTTCAGCATAGCCAAGCAAGTTGATTGACTACTAAACCAACCTCTAATTAGAAAGAATAATTCTTTTCTCCCTCTCTGCACAATAGGTTATCTGTATATGAGAAAAGAACAATGAACAAAAACCTCTCCTTTTAGTGAGGTTTTGTAACAAACAAGCCATGGCAACATTAGCTCCCTCTCCTTTTCATTTGTTTTAAATTATCTTGAGCTGCGAAACTGCACTTTAATATTTAGAATACAAGCAAGAATAACTGGAGCACATGTTGTTCACGGATGACCTTCCAAGAAGAGCTCTCCAATGAAGAGATCTTATTGCATTACCTCTCTTCCAGTAAAAATTTGTCAGTAGCTTAAATGCAGAAAATAGGCTTTGCTTTCAGAATTTAGAGGAAGGTGGACTAATCGACTCCACTATTTCATGCTGTTTCACCCTATTCTCAGATGCTAAGGCACTTGATAGGGCCCAGGAGCTGATCAAAGTTGCTTAATGAAAAACCCACACTACACAGTTGCTCTTTACCTTGTCCAACTTTCATTAGGATCTTCATGGCTTTTGTCTGGCACACCCCTCCCTCCTGGTTATCCAAGCCTTCCACTGATCCATTGGATGTTGCTGAATGGAAAAGAAAGAAAGAAAACAAAACAAAACACTAAGTGAAAGACTTCAGGTTATCAGCAGGTGCAGCCACACAAAACAAGAGTACCTGAAAGCAGATACCATCTGTCCAAATGTACTCCTGTTGTTCAGGTTTACCCAGAAAAAGTTGTGAAATGTCGACAGCCAAGGGAATGAATACACCCACCAAGACAGGCTGTGTTATATACCTAATGCTGGAATGCATTATCAGGTTTCAAATTTATCCAGGCATTTTTCTTTCGCAAACAATCAACCGCCTTGTTATTATGCCACCAGCTGAAAGACACCCATACCTCCACTCCCTTGGAAAAACTAGGAGTTGGCTGGAAACAACAATAAGGGGAAGTCCTGCCAGGCTCAGCGGAGCGAGGAACTTGCATTCCACTGGAGTTCTACAGATTAAACAAATGGAGCTGTCGAGATTGCAAAAAAGCCGAGTGTTGGCTTTTATTGACAATTCCCTGCTGCTCATTTGTATATTCTAGTACCTGACCACAGGGCCCAAGTCTTCAGAATTAGGGACTCTGAATCTACTTCCCTTCTCACCTTCTTCTAAGGGGCAGGGAAATTGACCAAGTTTGCTTTGTTTATTTAGCTTATTTTAAATATTCATGAACCAGTTGCATGTATGCAGATTCTAGAGCAGTGAACAATAAAACATACACGTCGCTAAAAAGAAAAGGCATAAAATAAAAACAATGGGTGGTCAACTGAGTAAGGTTTCCTGAAATAGCACAGTGCCGGTGCCTGTCTGAGCTCCCAAGGCAGGAAGTTCCACAGAAATGGAAAGGATCGTAGGTCCGTGTGGGACCACCAGGAGTGTGCCATCTGATGATCTTGGTGCCCAAGCAGGTTGCTAAGGTACAAGGCACCATATGCGTGGTCCTGGTTCCAAGTTGTTTAGTGCCATTCCTTCAACAAAGGAATCACATGCTAAAAAGTGGTGGCACTAGACAAAAGCTGAGCTGCTACACACGTCAGCACCAGCTTTTGGACAAGCCTTAAAGGCAGCCCCAAATAGATCCTGCTGCTGTAATCCACTCTTGAATAATCCAGTCTTTAGGCACATACCCTGATATTCTGAGGTTTACAGAAGTGGGAACATGCGCACACGAAGATATAACAACTAAAGGTGAATATCTAATAGTATGAGAGCAATTCACAACCAGCATTCCATTTCATACATTACATTTTTGTTTACCTTAGCAGAAAGATATAGATATCCAACTGAACTGTATATGCATATCCCCATAAGACAGAAAGAGAGAGAGAGAGAGACTTTTCTATCAGCGGTAAACCCCAGTACATTACAAAGGTTTCACTGCAGCAACCCTGCTATTCCAGTTTCAAAAAAGCTGGGGAAACAAGCAGATCAGCTGGAAGCGAAAAGAGAAGTTCGATAATAGTGGTCTCAGATCTCAAGAAAGCTGCCAAAGGAATAGTTTGTGCATTGCCCCTCCTGGATGCCCGAACTACCAATCGGAGAATCTGGGGCACAGGTGGGGAGAGGGAACTCTGAAAGCCAGAACGGAGGGAAGGAACCTGCAGGCCTCCAGTTTGCACTGAAATTCTATATTCACTTACCTGGAAGTAAGTCCCAATGAACTCAGTGAATCTTACTTTTGAGTATATATGTATAGGGCTGCACTATTAATCCATGGCATTTAAAATTAAAGTTATTAACTAAAAGGATTTCGAAGCTGCAAACAATCTTTTAGGTGCTTCAACAGAAAGAGTGAAGCAGATAGTCTGATGATGAACAATGGATAAAGACAGACTTTAATACAGATAGCCCCACTCAATTTGTTATCAACATGTTTTAAGTACTTTTCCTGTGCCCCAGTGTCCTTCTGTCTTACAAGATACATATGCAACAACATCTGGCCACCTACTCAAATATTAAAGAAAAGGAAAAAGGCCATGAAAGTACTTGCAGGGGGTTCCCATTGAGAAAAGGCAATTAAATGGCACTTTTGGTACTAAGAAGACTCACCTTTTCATCTAATTTAGATAGGGCCCCATAAGTCTTTTTTTTAAGTTATCCCACATGTTTCTTTGGGGAATTTTAAAAAAAGTATACCTTATGTACATTTCCTTTTTTCTTCACAACCCTGTACTCCTTTTCACTGTCTTCCCAGCCCCATGTTGATATTTTTCTTTCTCTAATCTTCTCACTAGCTGCAAACACTAGGAACTTTTTCCATTCCTTTGATCTACTTCTTGCTTTTGTTCTACTTCTCCCTCCTTGTGGGTGTAACATAATTCCTCCCTACATGAACTTCCCTTCTTGCATCTCCCTCCGTATTTTCCTTAAACCCAAGACTTCCACTCTTAATTTTGTTTTCCCACCTTAAACAAAAGTAGTCAACCACATCTCATCTTTTCATTTTCTTACTTTTTGTGCACACTTTTTTGAGTAATTTAGTGAAAAATAGATCTGATGTGTACATCTGCACTGCCAGGCACGGAAAATAATGGAGATGTATAGTTTTGTTTTGTTGAGATCTTTTTCTCCCCCCAAGAGAAAAGAAAATCAATACTCAGAACCAGTTTTCGACATAAATCAAATGCATCTTTTTGCTGTGTTTTTTATGACCTCGTTGTTTCTGCCCTTGTGCTTGTATATTGGACAACAGTGCAGTATACAGAAATACCAAACTGAACTTCACTAGAAAAGATACCTAATAAACAGTGACCATCATGCTCTTCTTAATGCTAAACTGAAGCAATTCACCATTCTTTAGTGACCTAGTTTTTAGCTGATTAAAATGTAATAGAACTGAATGTAGTGTCGTTCTCTCTTCAAAAAAGGGGAAAAAACTTAGCAAGTGATTCAAGCTATAGCGACAGTCTAGACAATTCATAGCTTAACTTCTACACAATAAAACAAAGAAGGATGAAGATAAATTCTGCAAGCAGTACAGCCGAAGGATCCATGTTAGATCTTGCATGAAACAGGCCAAACAGATTGAAGAAAAGAATATGGCACAGAAGGCAGTCAACATATTATTACATGTGTAAGGCAGAACGCCTTGGAACTGTGTAGGACACGTACGTAGGACAATGCTTTTATAGTTTACCTCATCCTCTGACAACTTGTCATAGGCCCCCTTCTTTCCCGAGGCTGGGAATGTTCCCCTCTGTTCATACCTAAGGTTGACCCTTTCAAGATACAGCTCAAATGCTCATCCTTGGCCTTCTTGTTCTCTCTTATCTAGGATCAGTTCTCCTTCAGCTACATACACACACGTTTCTCTTTAACCTTGTATTTGTAAGCACTAGGAAGACATCGTCTTTTTCAACATCCACAATCTGTCTTGATTTCTCAGAATCACAGTTTCAATGGGGTTTCTAGGATGTGCTGGAATTTTACATTCGTATTTACACTGCAGAATGTTACAGTCTGGAGGCATGGAGACAATTTGGCACGTGATTATGTAGCAAAAGGCCTTGTGCTGAACATTAACCAATATAAACTGTCTATTGCAGGAGTCAGTAGCTCCTTTTCAAGCCAGTTTTCTCTAGGAATCCTCACAGGAATCTAAACTGCTTTGCTTCTGATAGGCAACCCTACATTCAACATTAGGTAAAGGTAAAAAGTTCTCCCTGCACATGCTCGCTTGTCCTGTCCAACTCTAGGGGTGGTGCTCATCCCTGTTTCAAAGCCGAAGAGCCAGCGTTGTCCAAAGACGCTTCTGTGGTCATGTGGCCGGCATGACCGACTTTCATGCACAGGACGCTGTACCCTTCCCGCCAAAGTGGTCCCTATTTAGGGGCAAGTAACGGGAGCTCACTCTGTTACGCAGCACCAGGGATTCGAACTGCCAACCTTCCAGCCAACAAGCTCCTGCCAAGCCACTGCGGGGCTGGGCAAATCCATCAAGCTTGACTTTGCTCATGGTCTCCTTTGTCTACTCCTACATATTTTGTCCCCACTTTAATTGCAATTGCATTTTTAAAAGTCTGACAGAATTCAATATTTTTTTCATATATTAATATAAATCAAAGGTTTTTCAAAATATATGCATGTTGATTACTATTTTCAAAATGTACACTGAAGGTGTAAACATTTTTGAACGTACTAATTTTTGCAAGTAAATTTTCCATTGAATATACCATGCTTGTGCCTATTTTTTCAAATATATACATTCTTTGTGTGAATTGTATCAAATGTACCCATTCTTTTTATGCATTTTATTTTGTAAAGTGTATCACTACCTTCAAAAGGTATGCATTTCAGTATCCATCTGTTGGTTTCTTCCAAAATGTAGATTTTGGAAGATTATACTGAAGTTCAAACCAAACAACTTGCTCACACATTCCTAATCTGAATTGAGAGATTCATGGTTTTGATGACTAAAATCTGTCTCCCCCTGCATGGGCTGTATTCATTATGCATGTGTTTTATGGTTCTACAATTTTAGTATTTCCTGTACTAAAATTAGTATTTCCTTGAAAGACTATGGACAAGTATTCAGTTTATTACATTATTTTACCACCACGGAGGGGCACTATTTGTATTTTTGTATTCTCATGTTCCCTGAGCCCAGTGAGGGTAGGTTGCTGGAACAGCTAAGAAACCACTCCAGAACTCTATGACAAGCTGCAAGTCCTGCGTGGAAGCTGCACCCAGGAAGGGTGACTATATCATGACCAGTATATGCAAGATGTTTATCAAGCCACCAGAACATACAAACCAATCCTGTGCTGTTCTATCCAGCTTGATCCAGCAAGCATCAAGCTGAAGAATGAGTAAAATATCCTTAGATTATTTGTACTGCTCACTAAATAGGGGAGGAAGTAGCAGTTTGGCTATAGAGGCTTGGAGCTTTTGTCTGCTGAAAGGCTCTGCTGGTGGCAAACTACTACTTTTTTCTCCTTTTCCTGTGGGCAGCACAGCAACAAGAGCACAGTGTTGGAGTCCTGGACTGCTGAGAGCAAATGCACTCTTGCTTTAAAAATAGGTTTATATTTCT